GGGGGTTCCCCCCCCCAGCCTGTAGGCACACAGTGACACAGCACACGTGGGCAAGACCCGCTTAACCTCCACACCCACCAGGCGCCCAGGCATGCCATGCTCCCAGGGCACTGCAGTCCTAACATGCCCTTCATGTACCTGGTGGGGGGCCGCCGTATCGCCTCTGCCCATTGATCTGCACCAGGTCGATGCCGGTTTCTTTCACCCAGGCGATCAGGGCCATCTTATTGGCTTGGTTGATGCTGTCGGTCCATGCCTGCAATGGCAGATGATGCTAGTACAGCTCCGGGCAAAAAGTTTCCAACTTCCCAACTAGGGGCATCCCAACCCCAGGAAGCAATCGCAAGCCCTACCACCAGCTGCAGCTGCCTCATGGAGGGGCAAACGCTTAGCTGCTGTGCCCTTAAGGCAAGGCCCATCAGGAAACCAGAGTAAACTCCCAACACTGTACATCCTATGGGCTTCCGTGTCTGCTCTCCAAGCCTGCTCCATGTGAAACAGGCAACTCCAGAGATTTTGTAGAACACAAGGACACTAAGGATTCTTCTACAGATGTCCACGGGAGCTTTGAAAGCAGAGACACAGGCACCTGCTCAACAGCCTTGCAGCACTGCAAGAAAGGACTAGAGCCAAGATGACCCATTTTAACATGGGATCCCAGTTAGGCTAGGACCCCCAGACAGCCAAATCTCTTCTCTGCTAGCATCTTCCCAGGCTTTTGGGGTCACAGGAACTTCAAGGAGGGACTGAAAACACCAGCTACTCAACAATACTGCATTTCAGCTTATTAAGTGCTAAAAGGTCCTGTTACGACCTCTGAAGGCCATGAACTGAGGGAGATTAAAGTTAAACTTATCAATTTGGGTACATCTTAACCTGAGGTATCTTTGTTTGCACCATTAGGTAACGGCCGCTTTCTCTCCATAGGGTTTGGCCCTTCTTGAAGGTGAGAAAACACTTCTGCACAGAGATGGGGACCCTAAAGTGGGTCAACTCTGCTGAGAAGAAGCAGAAAGACCAGCTTCACATCCAGCCACATATGCCACTCTGCAACCAAGCCTCCCGCCTCCACAGCTCCAGGGCCAGGTCAGGGCCCAGGCTACTGCCTGCCCTTTCAGGCCATCTCTCCCCACCTTCTCGGGTAGCTTGTACGTGTGGGCACACCTGGGCCCTCGGGAAGGGCAGGGCCCGGCTCTCCCAGCACGTTCAAAGCAAAGCCGTCCATAGCCAGCTGGGAGCACAGCCCCAGCCGATTAGGTGCTAACATCACCTTGATGGTCTATAAACACCACCTAGGCAGGGGGCCAACCTGGCGAGGCAGAAGAGACGCAGCAGGACGGGATCGGGACTCCAAGCCCGGGAAGCCATCAGCTGCGCCCCCGGGA